TGGAGTTATGGACAGTTGTTAGTTGCCATGTGGGTGCTGGGATTCAAACCTGGGTCTTCTGCAAGAACAGTGTTCTTAACCACTGAGCCATCTCTCCAGCCCCTAAGTAAAATATTTTTAAAAATGAACAGCTTCGCCGGGTGGTGGCATGGGTGCATGCCTTTAATTCCAGCACTTGGGAGGTAGAAGCAGGTGAATCTCTGTGAGTTCAAGGCCAGCCTGGTCTACATAGTGAAAGAACAGCTTCTAGCTGGGCATGGTGCACATACCTATAATCCTAGCAGCTGAGAGGCAGAAACTGAAGGATCCCAGAAAGTTTGAGGCTAGTCTGGGCTACAGAGTGAGACCTAGTCTCAAAAAACAAAACAAGGGTATGGGAGCTGGAGAGATGGCTCAGCAGTTAGGAACACTGGTTATTCTTGCAGAAGACCTGGGTTCAAATCCCAGCAGCCACATGGCAGCTAACAACTATAACTCCAGTTCCAGGGGATCCGATACCTTCTCCTGTCATCCACAGACACTGCATGACAGGGGTGCACTTACATACATGCAGGCAATACACACATACACATAAAATTAAAATTAATTAAAACAAAACAAAATAAAGAGCTGGAGAGATGGCTCAGTGGTTAAGAGCACTGACTGCTCTTGAAGAAGACCTGGGTTTACTTCCCAATGCGAACATGGGATCATGGAGTTACATTTGTAACTCCAGTTCCAGGGGATCTGACACCTCTTTCTGGCCTCTGCAGGCATTGCACACATGGGTGCACTTACATACATGCAGGCAAAATACTCATACATATAAAAATTTAAAATTAAAAAAATTTAAAGACAAAACCAGATTCTCAGGTTTGCTTTGTTGGTGCCTCTGTTCTTCCTGTTCCTACCTGTTAGTGGTGTTTTCTCTTGTGACCTAATTGGTTTCTGTCCCAACTCTACTTGACAAGTGTTTTTTTAGATCCTCACATCCCAGGTCACTTTGAAGTCCCCGTCTTCCTTCACATAGGATACACTTGACACAATTGGGCATCCTTGCTTTTCCAGTGAGAAAATGTGAAGTGTTTATCCCAGCATGCCAAGTCATCTCTCATGCCTCCCCTAAGCCCTTCCGGGGTCCTACTGACCCCACCTGATCAACTTTGGTCGCATCCACTCATTTCTCTGCATCCCCAAGGCCTGGGTCAGTTGGGCTCCCTCCAGTGGGTCCCTAGGCTGTCACCAGAGCAATCGAAGGTCCTGTGAGCTCCTTCTCAAAAGCCTCCAGTGTCTTCCCATTAGCTGTGACAATTGAGGTGGCATTCAAGGCTTTTCATGAACTGGCCCATCTCTCTTTCAGCCTCCTCAGTACCATTCTATTTTAAGAACTCCACATTTTTTCACACCAAACTCTCACTGTTCCCTAGATGGGCTTGTTCCTTTAAATTTCTGGGCCTCTTCCTGTGTTATGTTCTCTGCCCAGTAAACTCTCATGCCTTAAGGCACACAGCACAGAATGGGCAAGAAAATGGTGCCTCTGAGATCAAGGGAACAGTGAGTTTGAAGAAGGATGTATTTCTGGTCCATCCATTCCAGACATTCCCTCCTGGGCAGTAGCAATTTATATTTTGGTGGATCAGCTCTATCCCAGCTCCAAGAATGGAGCCTGACTGATCTGAACTGATGAAATTATCCTATTCCTTTGCCACATGATTGGCAGTCAATGCATAACATTTCCCTGGTTGCAGTGATTGGTTTAAGGGTAGGCACATGACCTTAAAGTGGTCTAATCAGGGTACAGCTTACTCCTGCCCCTTTACTCCTAATTTTTAAAAAATTATGCAAAGGCATGGATGTCTGTGTGAGGATGTGTGCACATGAGTATAGGTGCCCGTGGAGGCCAGAAGAAGGTGTGAGATAACCTGGAGCTGGAGTTACAGGTAACGGGAACCACCCAATGTGGGTGCTGAGAACTGAACTCAGGTTCTTTGGAAGAGCAGTATGTGCTCCTAAGCACTGAGCAATTTCTCCAGCTCCTACTCCTAGTTTTAAATAGCACCCTCTTCCCCTCTTGCTTGGGAGGTACAAAAAGCAAGTCACACCCAGGATGCTGCCAATTCACTCCCATGAGAAAAGTCAGACTAAGGAAAAAGCCAGGACAAGACAGCAGAGCCAAGTCTCGGAGGAGCCACCACCTTTGCAGAGCCAGCTTGAGGCCAGTCCTGCTTTCTGACTTCTTGGCTACAGACTAGAGAGTGAGTATATTTCCTTCCGTTTTGTTTTGGACTTTTTCTTTTCTTTTTGGGATTACAGGTATGTGGCATTGTTCCCATATTTGGGGTTTTTGTTGTTGTTTTTGTTTTAGATGGGAATTTCACTCTCTGGAGACCAGGTTGGTCTGGAACTCACTGTGTGTATAGCCCAGGGCAATCCTGCTGCCTCAGGTTTCCAAAAGCTATTTTTATTTTATTTTATTATTTTGAGACAGGTTCTCTATGTAGATCACGCTGACCTTGAACTTGGAGCAATCTGCCTACTTCTGTTTCCCAAGTGCTGGAATAAAAAGCTTGTGTCACCATGACCAGCATGCTATTTTTAAATAATATTCAACCCAGAAGAAATTATAGAAATAAAACTGGGAGTGGTGGCTTATACCTCTTATCCCAGTACTTAGGTGGCAGAGGCAAAAAGATTGCTCCAAATTCCAGGCTAGCCTGGTCTATACAACAAGCTCTAGGCCAGCATGGCTACAAATGAGACCTTGTCTCAAAACATTCCCAAAACAATAGATCTGAGGTCTATCTTTCACCTATGATCACGTCTTTAATTGCCATAACGAATACTTTTACATAATCAGAAGACTCGTTAACCTACACATCTTATTTTCACTACTTTTCATATGTGCTTTCTCATTATATGGTACTATGAAATCGTATTCTCTGTTTAGACTTGTATTAGCCCAACAAAGATAATACAAGTCAAAGACAAGATAAAGCAAGACATAGAACTTTTCCATTACCATGAAAGAACTTCCTCATTCTGGCCCTGTACAGTCAGATCTTCCCCTTGAGCTTAACACCTGGTAACCATTAACCCATTCTCCACGACTATAATTTTGTCATTTTGGAAGTGTTGTACAAATGGAATTATTGAGTATTCATCCTTTTCTGACTGACTTTTCACTTGGCCTATTGTCTTTGAGATCTATCCAAGTCGTTGTACATATTAAGCATGTTCCTTTTTTATGAGCATGCAGTATTCTATGGTATGGTGGTATTATTTGCTCACTGAAGAACATTTAGGTTGTTTCCAGTTTTTGTTGATTACAAATAAAGCTGCTTTAAACATCTGTATACAGGTTAAACATTTTTATTTCTCTAGGGTAAAGACCTAGGAGTGTGATTGCTGATTTGCATGATATAGTGGGCAGAGTAATAGGCCCTGAAAAGACCAGCTCCTAATATGTTAATATGTCACTTATAAGGTGTGTGTGTGTTGACCTATGCAAGTTTATTCTATTTATTGAAGATTATTCTTCTGCAGTTAAATTGCTTTTGTACCCTGTCAAAAATTTGTGAACTTAAGCCACATGTGGTGATGTGTTCCTGTTTTCCCAACACTGGAGAGGCTAAGGCAGAAGGATCACTTATTAAAGTCCAGCTTTGGCTATACAGTAAGTATTAGGCTACCTTGGGCTATACAGAGCCTTGTTTCAAAAAGCTAAACTAAACACTCTGAAAACTTAGAATTTGCATCTATTTCTGGATTGTGTTTGCTGTGTGTGTGGGGGGGGTGGGTGTGGGTGTGGGTGTGGGTGTAGGTCTAGGTGTGCATGGAGGCCAGAGGCCAACATCAGATAACTTCTTCAATTGCTCTCCACCCTATTTTTTGGTATTTATTTATTTATTTTTGTGACAGAGTCTCACTATATAGCTTTAGCTACCTAGAACTCTCTATATAGACCAGGCTGGCCTCAAACTCACAGAGAGCCTCCTGCCTCTGCCTCCCAAGTACTGGGATTATTATTTTTATTTTATGTGT